TAAGACTCAGTTAAAAGAAAATGGAGTAATCTTGTCCAAATGCCAAATTAACATTTATTAGCTCTGGAAAAATAATAATTATAATGACTTAGATCAATACATGTATAAAATTATAGGTTAAATAGGCAAGATTCTCTATATCATCAAAATGAAAATTATTGTTAGAAGTAATAAGAACATACAGATTCTTAATTCTCTTCATGATCCTGTTCAGAAGTAGCAATATTGCAAAATGGGCAGCCCAGTTGTTTTTTACAATTTATTTGAAAGAATTGAGCAATACCCAGTTCCAGGAAGGCTAGAAATGCAAAATGTAACATTATAGTTACAGACAAAGTGTGCACACTGCTAACATTAGCTGTCACCTGGGCACAGCCTGGAGTCACCTGTAGGAAGTCTCAACTGAGGCCCAGCTCAGACTGGCCTAGGGCCATGTATCCTCCTACTTTACTTTCTGTCACTGTGATGAAGACCATAAGCAAGAACAACTTGGGAAGGAAAGTGTTTCCTTCATCTTATAACTCCCAAGTTGTAACTCTCCAACACTGAAAGAAGTCAGGACAAGAACTCACAGCAACACACTTGGGAACACAGGGTTAAGCAGAGGCTGCGCAGGAATGGTGCTTATTGGCTTGCTTTTCACAGCTTCTTTAACCTACTTTTTTTTGTTTGTTTGTTTGTTTGTTTTAATAAAGAAAGAGTTTATTGGGGTTTATCGAGTCAGTGTGTGAATCTGTGACCATCATTGCTAGGACCATGACAGCAAGCAGGCAGACATGATGCTGCAAAACTGGCTAAGAACTTGCATCCTGATATTCAACCTCCAGAGTTGGGGTTGGGGGATACAGACAGCATAACTGGAAATGGCACTGGCTTTTTGAAACCTCAAAGCCCACCCCCAGGGACTGCTCACTATCTATCCTACAATTGTATACCTCCCAGAACCACCTGGTCAACGTAGCACTACCCTCAGTGAGCTGGGCCTTCCCATATCAATCGTTAATCCTAAAGAAAACTGGATTCCCTCCAAAAAAAAATATATATATATATGATGAGGACATTTTCTTAATTGAAGTTCCTCCTTCTAAGTGATTTTTAGCTTGTGTGAAATTCACAAAAGAAATCTAAGCAAGACAGTATGTTTATTGGGGATTGCCTTTAGTGTTAATTGATATAAGAGAACCCAGCCCACTGTGGATGAAACTCTTCCCTGGGCAAGTAGTTCTGGGCTGCATCAGAAAACTAGCTAAGCATGAGACTGAATGAATCAGCAAGAAGCATTCTTTTATGATTTCCTTTCTAAACTCCTGCCTGAGTTTCTGCCCTTCTTCTCAATGATGGAGTATGACCTAAAATTATAAACCAAATAAATATTTTCTTTCCTTAAGTTATCCACTTGTTTGTCACAGCAACAGAAAAGAAAACCATACTGGTTTAAAGGTGATACTTGCCAATAAAGTGGCTGAAGAGCCAAGATACACAGAGTTGAAAGGATCACTGAGTAAAAATAACAATAGTGACCACTTTTTGAAAGCCAAGCACTGTTCAACGTTTTGTTGATATTATCTTTCATCTCTGTATTACATCAGGATGCATTATCTTAAGCCAAATCTACATGCAGGTATTAATTATGATCCAGATGACATAGAGAAGGAAGTTAAACTGACTGGAAGAGTCACACGTTAATAGGAACACAGAGAACCAATGCATTCTCTCTCAGGTATGTACCTGAAGTGAGCGTGGGGATGGACTGAGAGCCCAGTAGCCATGTCTAATGGCCATCCCTGCTCTCTGAGGCCGAGTATCAGATCTGAAATCTGTAGGCTGCCATAACCACTGAGAAAAAGAGCCAGAAAAAAACTTTTTTTGTGTGTGTAGAATTCATCATTAGCTTCCTTTGCCACTGAGAAAGCCATCTCCTGGCTGTAGTAGAGAGAGAAGAAGACAAATAGGCTTTCTTAGCAAAAGGATATCTTTGGGCAGTAGGCCAGTCTTATGTTGTTATAGAATGTTACCAGAGGTAGCAGTTCTGATTTTTTTTTTCAATCAAATTCAAGTAGAACTGTTGGAGCTGCCTGAATAGTGATGTCTCTATCTAAAACAACCTGTGAATAATGGGAGTGCTGATGTGAGAAGCCATACTTCATTTGATCTTTTCTTTTACTATACAGGCATTTTTAAAGAAAATGAACTTATAGATAAAGAAAAACTAAACTAGCTTTTCTGCATGTTACTTATAAAATCTGTTATGGTATGATTAAGTGGCATAATTCAAACAATAACATTTTAAAGACAAATAAAACTATAGAAAAGTAAACAAAGTTATATGGTATTGTGATTGCAAGGCTTTAACACTGTAAGTCATGATGCTCAAGTAAATCAGCTTTATGGTATGCACCTGTGACACTCTGATCAAGTTATAGAGTTACATATTATATACATATATATCTTGTATGTATGCATACTTTGTGAAACACTGTTATAATCCAGCAGGCCATGGCAATTATTCTCTTCCAATTAGAGCACCTTTAACTCTTACAAGAGACCCTTGGAAGACTGGGTTTCTAACATCCCCTTGTAAAAGAAGAAACAAAAACAAAGTTCAGGAGTTAGGGTTAGGGGTTCATGAAGAACTTAGAAGGTGGGACTCAAGGGGTTAAAGAAAGCTCAGGAGGCACTGCATGAGAGACCCACAGGACAATCATGAAGGACCATGACACCACTGACAAGAAACTCATGAGGGGAGATGAAAGGGGTGCATGAGAGCGTTACAAGCAGCTCAGGAGTCAGTACCTGAGATACAGAGGTTGCATAGGTCCTTAGTACAAGTAGATAATGACTGCTGGGGAGAGACCGCTTTGGTGGTGGAACCACATACAAACAGCCCGTGTTCCTGAAGGCAGCCTCCATCTACTTTCCTATAAGAGCCTCATGGACTGAATTCAGGTTGTCAGGTTTGGTACTAAACCATCTCACTGGCCCCCTGTGGTGGGTGGTTCTGGTTCTAGTCTTTAAGGGCTCTCCACATGAATCTCACATTGGCTTCACTCACGGATTGTCTCTCTGTGTTCTGTTTCTCCTGGCATCCTTACCAGCATTTACCGTCATTTATTTTCTCAGTGATGGCTGCTCCAGCTTAGGTAGTATGGAATCCATGTGTCGTTTTGATTTTTATTTACCTAACAGCTAAGGATATTGAGATTTCTGTATCTATTTATTAGCTTCTTTTAGAAAATTGTCTGATCAATTCATTCGTTCATTTACTGAATTATTTGGGAGAGGTTGGTAATTGGTTTTGAGTTTATGTATTCTGCATGCTAATCATTTGAAGGATGTACAGCTGATGGAGATTTACTCACATTCCATAGGCTGTCCCTCTCCTCTATTTTCTTGGCTGTGTAGAAGCTTTTTTAGTTTCATGTAATCTCATTTCTATTACTTGCTAGCAATTGAAACTTTTTTCAGAGAGGTTTTTTTTTTGTTTGTTTGTTTTGTTTGTTTGTTTGTTTGTTTTTGCCAGTTCCAATAACTTGAAGTGTTTTCTTCTAGCAGTTTCAAAGTTTCTGAACTTATATTAAAGATCTTCAATCAGCTATAAATTGACTTTTAAACATTGCACTTTATGGCTGAATAATTTTATTCTTCTTCATTAATAATTTATTTTGCTAATCTTACGTAAAATTATACTGTTAAATATATCAAAAAGTATATTTAATACATGCCTTATCTTTCTTTTAGCTATATTTTTAAATAAAATTACTGAGTGAAAGATTAAAATGTTTTTAAGTGTGTAATACGCGTTGACAAACTTATTTCCATAATGATATTGTCAAGGCTTACTAGTACATTCAGGAAAATGGGGAAAAAAATAATACAAAATAATGGGACCAGAGTAACTGTGGTGGCGCTGGAAGTCAAACGGCTTTGAAGTGGAAGTTTTTGCTTCGTTTGGAAACTCGGTTGTGATGTGTGAATACGTGCTTTGTTTCGGTCCCACGTGTGGGATATGCAAATATGTTTCCGCCCCCCTCCCTATGGAAAACAACCCCATAGAAAACGGCCCCCATGAAAAGGCGTGTGATGTTTGTCAGCTGGAAACTACCTTCTTTGAGGGGTGTGGGTTTCTTGAGCTGGAAACATCCTTGTGAGGACTCGGAGAAGGGCTAAATAGAAGCCCACAGACAGCGAGACAATGCTTGTCCCGTCTCTGCACTTTGCAGTTGTCCAAGTTGCTTGGCGGTTTTCGAAGAGAGAAAGGCTCCAGAGAACTTTTCGTGCTGCTTTGGTGGAGTTTTGGCATTTTGGCAGACCAGGGCCATTTGGGTGGAGTCTTGCTGCTTCTGCTAAGTGGAACCACCACTGTTGCTGTGGCTTGCTGTTTGCTGCTGCTGCTGCTGTGGTTTGCTGCTTTGCTGTTTGACTGGGCTGCTGGTATCCTGAGGACTGAGACTGGTATATCCCCAAAGAACCTCACAACCCAAATCAGCAGGAAGTAGATAAAAGGTCTACAACTCCCTTCTCCTTCTAATCTACCTACGGTCGGGGGTTGGAAAGGGAGGTAGAGAAAAGGTTGGAAAGTAGGTGTTTGAAAAATATAAGCCTACATGGCTTCATAAAAAGATAAAACAAAGCAATTTATCCAATTCTTAGAAAAAAATCAATGTTCTATGAACAACATATTAGTCAATACATTTTTATCTAGCTATCCATCATTTCTACTATCCAATTACCTACTTAAGACTTGGTGGATTTTTTTTCTTACATCTTTTCCCTTCCTTCCCACCCCTTTTTCCCTACTTCTTTTTCTTATCTAAGGTTACTATTTGGCGATTTTTATGGAATGAATCCTTAATAACTCACTGCGTTGCTTGTTAAAATACAGCCTAGACATCTATATTGCTCAGCAGTCCTATTAAAAAAAAATCACACCAATTTTTCTTTTGCAAAATTTCTCCTTGATGACAAGTGCACTGATATTTCCTTTCCCAGGCACACTCCAAATGTGGTGGCTTTTGGCAGCAGCATGCTGTATGCTTCTCCATGGACCCCTACACGGCTATAAGCAGAGAAGCATCACAAATCCTGAAGCCAATATGAACATAGTAAGTCATTCATTGAAAAGAAGACACTAATACAAGGAATTATTCAATAGTCACCATTTTAGGTATAATTTGTATATTAAGATTTTCTCTAATTCTAAATCTGGACTTTCTCTTTTGGTCCTTACCAAAACTAATTAATCCTAGAAATTGAAAGTTTTGACCCACATTGGAGCAACAATCCTTGTGGTCTGAGCTCACACCTAGAGGTAGCTTTCTGAAGAGAAAACTCAAGATTCATTCGTGATCTCCTGCACATACCCTTGAATTTTTTCTGGGGCTTTGTGTAATCCACCTTATGATTTTGTGAGCTACAGCAGTGTTCTTTTGGAATTCAATAAGCCAAGATTGGTTTGCATATCTTTAAAGAAATTCATGCCGGCAGTGAATTGGAATAGTGATATTAGTGATATGTTAGAAAGGTGGAGGACAAATGTCCGCTCTGTGCTTCCTGATAATAAGATTAATGAATGGAACAGCAGACATACCATGCCATGCAGTGTGTCTTCAGAAACTGGGCTTTTAAGCTATTCTGAGTAACAGCATAACTTATACATACACTGTGTGCCTCCTACGAGAAAATGTGTAACCCTGTGATAAAAGTATTGACTTTGCAACTAAAATTACTCTTTCATTAATCAATCATTCGTCTCTCCCTAACATTATCTTGGATAAATCACTAATTTTGCTGATCTTCAATATCCTTAACTATAAATGTTTATGAGTTCTATCATAAACACTCCTCAGCAGGATTGATGAAGTAGAGTAAGCATATACCTTGTAGCATTTGTTTCTTCTTCCATGCATGACTGTGGATAGGGTGGTTTCCGATGACCTTCTAACTCATACTGTGTTTCTTTATTTCCTTTCTGTCCAAAAGGCTGGCCTATAAGGAATGCATTTAAACCTCTCTCAAACTTTGTAAATGTGTATGTATACACACACACACACACACACACACACACACACATACACACACACACACATTTATATATCCAATTAGCCAATGGAAATCCTGAGCATAGGGTATAAAGAAAGAGAAGAGTAAGATCAAGGTTCCTTACTTCTTTGTTTGTTTTTGTTTTGCAATTGTCCTTGCTCTAGTTTGGGTAGTCAGCTTAGTCAGCTATCTCCCTTGATATAGCCTTTCCCTTCATCTTCCTGGATTCTAATGACCACTTCCTTCCATATTCCTTTGCAGTCAAATTGATAGGAGCTCACTTGTCATTAGCCACAAGATGCTTCCCAATTGCCTGCGGTTTCCCTCCTTAGCCAAGTCTTTACATGTCGTGTTGCCAAAACATCTTAGGAATGAACTACTTGTGGTTGAAGCACTAAGCCCACAAGCATCTTAGACACTGGCCTGAAGATGATAATGTTGAGTCCCTCCACCATTATGTTACCCCTTTGCCTCCAGTCCCATCCTGAAATGCTTCCCAAGCTGTTATAATTTCTCCTGCTCTTTGCTGTTGTCTATTGCACACATTGGTGAGCAGTAGATTGATAGTTAATGGGCTATATTGCAGTATACACACAAAGAGAAAACTGAGTTATGGGTGTATGCTTTTCAGAGTCAAATTATTTCTTACTGGGGCTATCCTTATGAGAAGTACGATGTTGTAACAGAGGATGGTTATATCCTTGGAACTTACCGGATTCCTCATGGGAAAGGAAGCTCAGAGAAAACAGGTATGGTTTACTTTGTTTTGAAATTAAAAGGCCTGAGATAGAAATGCCTACATGTCCTGGAAAGCTTTCACCTGGTGATAGGTCATAGTCCTTTCTATCAGAGAAGAAAATGTGTCCCTACCTTTATTTAATTCACACAACTCTTAAAAACCTTTTCCTATTTTTATATATACTGTCAAGCAGACAGCATATATACTGTCTATTTTATATATACTGTCAAATGGACTTTCCCTTTCTCCATGCCTTTGTCACTCCAATAAAAACAACATTCCCAAATAAAGAGAACTATGTCCTCATCACAATAGCACCTCCATAGTTTAGAAGCTCAGGAGGCATCCTTGCCTTGTTGTCTCACTGACATCCTAAAAGCAGTCACCAAAATCTATCAGTTTGCCTTCCAAACCTGTATAACCTGGACATTCTTAGCTTTAATGAGATTCAAATCCAGGTTTGGACATAATCTCTTCCATTATGATACACGGTAACTGAGGTGAACTGTATGTAAAACCACGTCTCCATGCAAGTCAGTGTGCTTTTATTCTCTTAAGAAAATATGATCCACTGATAGCGGAGGTCCTCCTCCCCTTCCATTTGACCCTAGCTTATCAGGTCTCACCAGGACTGGCTGCAATGTCCTCCTCTGTGGCCTAGGACGATGGGATTGGGAGGGAATGAGGGAGAGGACTACAGCTGGGATACAAAGTAAATACACTGTAATTAATATAAAAAAAATAAAAAAATAATTGTAAAAAAGAAGAAAAGGGAAAGTATCATCCTTGAACTCAGTGGCTGGCTCTTTGATCACTTCCCCCTGAGGGGGAAGCAACCTTACCAAGCCACAGAGGATGACAATACAGCCAGTCCTGATGAGATTTGATAGGCTAGGGTCAGATGGAAGGGGAGGAAGACCTCCCCTATCAGTGGACTTGGAGAGGGGCAAGGGAGGACAAGAAGGAGGGAGGATGGTTTGGGAAGGGATGAGGGAAGGTGCTACAGCTGGGATACAAAGTGAATAAATTGTAATTAATAAAAATAAATACTTATAATTTAGAAAAAAGAAAGGGTGATCCTATTAACGCTGTCCTCACACTTCGTTGAAGAGCTCTTTCCAGCTCTTTGCTTTGTGGAAAAACACTTTACTGTTTCCAATGATAATAAAACTGCCATTTATTGAACACGTGCTGAACACCAGTCAGCTTCATTATCGCTTGAATTATTCCAGTAAAGCCTAAGAGTTTTAATAAGATGCTTCTTTTGATTAAATGTATTTATTTTAATTTTTTATATATGAATATTTTGCCTGCAAATATGCCCCACATGTGTGTCTGGTGCCTCTAGAGTCCAGAGGATAGCTCAGATTACCCTGGTCCTGGTGTTACATGTGCTTGTGATCTGCCTTTGTGGGTACTGAGAATCTAACCCCGGGTCCTCTGCAAGAGAACCAGCTGCTCTGAGTCTGAGCTCTAAAAATCCCTATCCTCCAATATTGAATTCTTAAATCTCCCCTTTGAGAGGTCACTTGCTATTACTCTTCAATATGTAAATAATGTGAATAATCGACATAGCAAGGTAGATTTTGAACCAGAAAACTCTGGCTCCAACAAACACCTATGTGACATATTACTTCATTTATAATCTTCACTTTATAAATAAGGCAAGTACGATATAGCTGCATATCCAAGGAAAGAGTCCCTGAAAGACTGGATTCTAGCTTACCTGGTGCAAAATCCCCCCTCTTAACCTTGCTTATGTGTGAAGAAGTCAGAACGCAGAGTGTGTGAGCAGGCTGAGGGGGTCAGGTAGGAAACCGTTGTTGTCTGTGTTTTTCAGTTCCGAAGGCAGTCGTGTATCTGCAGCATGGCTTAATTGCATCCGCTGGTAATTGGATTTGCAACCTGCCCAACAACAGCTTGGCTTTTGTTCTAGCCGATAGCGGTTACGACGTGTGGCTGGGGAACAGCCGAGGAAACACCTGGTCCAGAAAACACCTGACACTGTCGCCAGACTCACCTCAGTATTGGGCCTTCAGGTGAGAGGAGCCTGTTCGTGAATGAAATGTTCACTCACTTAGAAGCATAAATTCTTCTTGGTTCCCCTTCTCTGTCCAAACGCACCCCAAGGGATTTGCAAAAAGCAAACTAGAATTTCCTCGCCCATCCATCTCAGGAGAAACGTTCTAGTTAGAGCTTCGATGCTTGTTTTTAAGCCGTTTCCTTCCTGGTGTGACTGACGAGGGTCGGGTGGAGTGGGAGCGTGTCCCTGTGGACTGACCGAAAGGCGGCCAAGTGGCAGAGAGCTGCTCCTGAAGCCTGACATGCTGAGTCACAGGGGCAAGGCTTGCACTTCCTCCACGGAGATCACTAAGGCCGGTGGTTCCGTGGCCTCATTCCTGAATTCTTTCTGGAAGCCAGCATTTCCTAAATCTTCTCTGGGATATGTGGAATGTGACTGAGCCTCACGGAAACATTATCAGAGGTTTTGGCATCAGGCTCCTCTTATTCCAGTCACCTGACAGTGTTGCCGTTGCAATGAAGACGGCAACATGAGAAGTTGTCCTGACGTACACTGCTCTTACCCTCTCATGTAGAGCCAAAGCCGAGTATCTACGGCTGCAAGGATTGTTTGCAAACAGCCACATATCATTTCTAATTCCGTTGTTCCTTTTCTTTGGCAGTTTGGATGAGATGGCTAAATATGATCTTCCAGCCACGATCAATCTAATCCTAGAGAAAAGTGGACAGAAGGAGCTCTTCTATGTGGGCCACTCACAGGGAACCACCATAGGTGTGTTTGGGGAAGATGCAATCAGAATCAACGATTTCCTTCTGTGTTTGTGGGAGGGGTCAGGTTGTGTGTTTTGCTCTAGTTTAGTCTGTAGTCTCTAGTTTGGGAACTTTGAGAAACCTCTAGGTAGGTTCTGAAGAGCAAATAAAACAAGGATGACCATGAGAAATTTGTCCCGACACTCAGTTTAGAGGTTGACAGGACTTAATTTGTGTTCCCAGCAAACATAGAGATCCCAAGTTATATTCTGAAGAAACAAAGATAAACATGGAGCCCTTTTCCTCCTGGAATCTCTCACAGTCAAGAGAAGGACACTGAAGCAAAAACATAGGATTATGGAACTGATTTTATGCTGTAATCAGTGTGGTTTTTCTTGATGAAAGAGCAATGAGACATCTCAGGCCTCTCACAAACATTTGAGACCATAATATCCATATTTCTTAGATTATTAAATTCAGGAGATTTTTTTTTCCAAATGGTGAAAATACCAAGCCTCACTTTAAGATTCATTTTTATGTTTCTCTATGTAATACTTTAATGTATATGAAAGTATGTAGATGCTTACATAATCTCATATATATCATAGAACAGTCCTCTGTAGATTGCTGTCCTCACTTACATAGTGAAGAAAATGAGATTCATAAAAGAAGGTAACTTTCACAGTTAGTGAGTTAGATGCCAAGACGGTAGCTTGATTTTATATTGTATCAAGATCAAGCCAACATGGTTCCTCAGGTTTAATATACATGCTCCACAGAATGTCACCGAAACTCCCAATACTCTCTCTACATGCACAGTTACTTTCCACAAGAGTTGGGGCTATCCTTAAGAAATTTAAAAATTCTTCCCCATAAATAGTACTCACATTTTCTTTTCTTTTGTTTTCAATATAGCTATCTTTATAGTGATTTGCAATGAAGAGATAATTGGAAGTTTGTGTGAGCTAATACCTTCTTTCCCTGCAGCATTCATAGCATTCTCTACAAATCCAGAACTGGCTAAAAAGATTAAGATATTTTTTGCACTAGCTCCAGTGGTCACAGTAAAATACACTCGAAGTCCTATGAAAACATTAACCACCCTTTCCAGGCAAGCTGTCAAGGTATGTGGACTCTTCAGGTTTAAACGGGAAGGAGCTATAAATCTCCCTGTTTCCACAGATAATGGGAAAAGACATGTGGCATGTTTAAACAGATATTCAAACAGTGATGTCAAAGGTGATCGAGGGGTGCGTGAAAGTTTGCTGATAGTGTGCTGTGACCCTGAACTCAGGGTCCTGATGCCTTCTGCCCCAGTATCTTCATCTCTGTCTATGGAACATCTCTCCCAATCACACAGCTAAAGTGAGACCTGACTTGATATTTCTGAGGAATCCTATTCCCGTTTCAACTTCAGTTCCTTTTCACATCTTCAGTGCCTCTTATCAGTAGGACTTTTGATAAGAGGCTTTCTAACTATCGTGAAGCAACCACCTGTCATTTTGACATGAATTGCAGGTGGGTTGGTTTGTGGACAATTTTGTGGAGTTGGTTCTCTCCTTCCAACATGTCATGTGTTACAGGGATCAAATTCAGGTCACTAGGCTTAAATAACAAGTGCCCTTACCTGCTGAGACATGTCGCCAGACCAATAATATATTAGTTTGGTAGGCTTTTGTTCCCTGCTGTTGTTGTTGCTGCTGTTGTTATTGTTGTCTTTCATTTTGTTGATCTGTTATATTATACCTTTTTCATCTGCATATTTTGGCCTGTGAATCTTTTTTGATGAATTCCATTTAATTGGTATAAATTATCTTTTCAATGTGTTGTATTTGGTTTACTAGGCTTTGTACGAAGGGTAATTCTATCTTTTCATCACGGATATTTGTCTGTAATTTTCTAGTTTTGTTTCCTTGTCTGTTTTGGGTATCATGATCATATTGGCTTCATAGAATGAATTTGGAAGACCTTCTTTTTCACTTTAAATAATTTTAGAAATTTTGGTGTTAGCGCTTCTGTAGATGCTTAGAATTCACCAATGAAGGCATTGGTCATGAGCTTTTCTTTGATGAGAAACTGTTCTTCATCAGTTTCTATGGTTAGCTGTTTTTGACCTGTTCAGGTCTCTATTTATTATTCTGTATCAATATTCTGCATCAATGAGCTCACTCAATTCTTTTAGGGTACCAATGTTGGACATCTAGTTGTTTGTGGTTAGCGATGACTGATCTTTGTATTTCTGACACGGGTCCTGGGAAACAAACTCTCTGCCTCTCTGTGTGCTCATGACCACTGAGCCATCTCTCCAACCCAAGAACTTTAATCTTTAAAAATTCAGAGGTTTTTAGTTGTACCTACCACATGAACTATTCCAGAAAATGTTCCATGTAGTGATTTTTCATTGGCAGTATTTGTTCTTGGGATTGCTTCATTGTTCTCATTCAATTTAGTTCCATCCACTTAAAGACAGGTATAGGGATTAGAGTTGCATAGAGTTAGGCATCTGCTTCCTGCCCTTTGTGGCTGTGAGTAAGCTATTCAGTCATCCTAAATTGTGCTTTTAACGTCTATAAAGTGGGTAGAATTTGCCATGCTAGGACCTTCATTGAGATAATATGTGCAAGCATCATTCCTGGCCAATAGCAGGCTCATCACATATTGCATAAGATGTTAACGTATTAATCAAGCTTATTTAGATGTCAGTGCACAGCATTTGGCACTCAGTTACTGCTACTCCCTTCCACATCCCACCCTGCCTCTGGGCATTTTTTTCTTTTTGTTCTTGATTCTATACTTTCTTTTGAATCTGCAGTTTATACCTAACCTTTTCTCTTTTTACTTTCCCTGCTTTACTCGATTGCTAACGTTGTTTTCATTTCTTAAAATAAAATATTGCGCTTCAGATAAGCTGAGCAACATATCTCAAATCATCCTGCTATTAGACACTAGAGCCAGAACCTCAATATTATTCTTATTGGGCAACTAAAGGAAGGTGATGGTTTTTGCTTATGTTTAGTGATTACAGTTTGGATGGTTGTGGTGTTTTGTCTGGGCCTCTCTCATTTAAAACTGAAGTTCACACTGTGAATACATGTTGCTACAATTATTAAATAATGATGGGGATGGGGACAGTTATGTAGAGTTACAGTTTGGTAAGTAGAGTAATTACTAGTATTGCATATTAATCATGGCAAAATGAAGAACAGGACAGAATGAACTAGATGATATCTGCAATGGCCTATTATTGCCTAAAGAATTGAGAAACTTGAACGAGTTTAACTGAATGCCATTCTTCCTTCTCTTTCATTCCCTTCTTTCTCTTTCCCCTCCTCCTTCTCCCCATCCTGCTCTAATTCCTCTTTCTTCTCCTCCTGCTCTCCTAGTTATCATTTCTTTCTCCCCTCTGTCTTCCTCTTCTTTGACAGAAAAAAAACATATTAATTCGATTATAGTATCTTATATATTATATTGAGGTTTCAAAGACTAATAAATATTCTATTAAGTGGGAATTCCCTTCAATTCTTTAATAGAAAACAGTTTTTTTTCAAACTCAGAATTAAAGTAAGTTATACCATGTAGAAATTTACTGAGCTTATAGGACATTACTGCAATAAAAATAAATGTGCACTATTATTGTTTTTGTTGTTGTTGCAATAGTCAGTGAATAAATGATTTTAGAAAAAAAAGTCTGTGCCAGTTTTTTTTTGTTTTGTTTTTGTTTGTTCATTTTTTTGTTTTGTTTTTTGTTTTTTTCCTTTTTGGTTCTTTTTGTTTTTGTTTTTCTTTTGTTTTCGAGACAGAGTTTCTCTGTGTATCCCTGGCTGTCCTGGACTCTCTTTGTAGACCAGGCAGACTGTTAATTCACAGTGATCTGTCTTGCTCTGCCTCCCTGAGTGCTACGGTTAAAGGTGCCTGCTACTGTGCCCAGCTTGTGCCAATTTGCATAGTCAATAGTTGTTTCTAAAACTTTTTTAGAACTAAAATTGGTCTTTTCACCTCCTCTGTAACTTAATAATATGGAATTTACTATGATGAAATCAAAGCAAAATCTGACTAACACACAGGGATTCAATATTTTCTCTTGTTGTGATATGATAGATTTCTAGAATGCAACAGGTATACTCAACGAACATATTTGCAGCCTTGCCTGAAATTTCATTAGTAGAGTTTCACTACTTATGGTAGAGCTTTTGTTTCTGGGGGAGTGTTAAAAGGTCATGAAAAGAAAGGCTCATGGCATATTTCAGTTACCACTTAGAAAGAGCTGCTGTTCCGAAACTGTTTGCTAGGTTCTAGGAACTCCATTGGGTGTTCCTCAACTGTGACCTAACTTCGCAATGATTCTGCTTAGGATATGCCAATTTTTTTCCATTTTACAGTTATGAAAATTTTGGGACTAAACTGGAAAATAGGAACTAAATTCTTCCTAAGTTGTAAGAAAGAGATTCTAGAACTATGTAGGACTAATTTACCAATTCCTGTGCCAGCTGTTCTCTAAGGGAACATAATCTCAATATCCCAATGAAAGACTGTCATAAAAATTATCAGGACAGTAAGAGTACTGCAGAGACAAAATTTTACAGACTTCATGGTTTCACCTCCTGTGTAGTCCTTGCCTGGATGAACAAGCATTCTCCACTCTTGACATCCGTGTCTATCACATTTAATGGTCCTTTACACCCCTCTTGCAGGTATTGTTTGGTGACAAAATGTTCTCCACTCACACATTGTTTGAACAATTCATTGCGACCAAAGTTTGCAACCGGAAGATATTCTATCCTGCATGCAGCAACTTCCTGTTTTCTCTCAGTGGATTCGATCCCCAGAACTTAAACATGGTAGGTATAAGTAATCCCTTCCCAGAATGCAATGGTTTTGCTGCATATGGGGTAAGAGTTCAATTTGGATTTTATGGAAACCACATTAGATGGCCTCTTGTTTTGTCTTTTGGAATGTAATTAGTATCCTCCTGGCCCCAACCAGGATTGAGAGTTGACTACAGTTTATAAAAAAAAAATTAAAAAAAATGTTTTGATAAAATTTTGCTTTCAGAGCTTCTAATTCTTGCCATGACTAAAATTTCACCATTAAAAAAACACTTTATTTCTGTAAGAGTTAGGACTACTTCAGAACTACTGAAGTGGAATCTCAGAAACTGGTTTTAGAATCTGCATATTGTATTTGTTCTTAATAAATTTTCCATATTCGTGGGAAATTTGAAAATCCTTATCTTGTGGTCAACCCTAATTGAAAGAGATAAATTTGGCTTTTCAGTGACAGCTAAGCATTCAAGGGTGCTTAGATGGGTTCTTTTCCTCTATTCTAGCATAATTGGGCCCTTTTCCTTTGAAAATATAAATAACTAACTTGAGGGATGAGGAGGGGAAACTTCAGAAGTCACTCTTCACTTCCTAGCTAGACATGGACTATGTTTGAAACCAGAGGTGGCACACAGCTAAAGATGATCCCCATCTGTCTCACAGACTTCTGCCAAGAGCCTGCTCTTCCTCTATTTTTTTAAAAAGAAGGTTCTCACTAAATTTCCCAGGCTGGCCTTGAACTTACTATGTAGCCCAGACAAGCCCTGAACTCATGAAAGTCCTGTCTCAGCCTTCTGAGTATTTGGAAACTAAAGGGCTGGTGATCAGGCTCAAAACTTTTTATAAAGGCTTGTTTTATGCAAAGTGTGCCTGCAATGCTGCCTTTCCATATTCTCAAGTCAATTCTTCAGTGAAACTGAGCTTGCTAATCATGGGAATATATGAATGTCCTGCAGATGAAAAAATAGGCAGAACTAGATTATGGAATATTGAAACATCAGGAAGAACAGTTACTTCAGTGAAGCACAACCACAGGTCCACTTCAGCTTTTGTGGAGCTTCAGAATAATTCTGTTACTAATAATACAAATGTTCTGAACTCAATTCATAAAATTTTGACTTTTTTTTCAGTTGTTTTGACTTTCTCATAAATAGATGTTACTTTTGAAAAGTGTTAAAATGTTTTTGATGCTCACATTGGTAGAAAAATAATTCCTGTATTTAAAAATGAATTTAAAAGTGGAAATAGCAAAGTGAATAAACTGTAATTAATAAAAATAACATAAAAATTTAAAAAGTGAGAAAAGGAAGGTAGTCTTATCTAGAATAAATCTATTAGAGAAATTGCATCCTACAAACATTCAAAGGCCCTATAGAATATTTGACACATTTTTTTTTAAATCTAGCAATGAATGAAACCATGTAGGTGTGTTTCTAATGTTATGTAAGCAAAGCTTTCTCTTAAATTCATTTTTTTTCAGATTTATTTTTTTTTTCATTTTATGTATATGTTTGTGTACCCTGTACCCAGAAGGGGGCATCAGATCCCTCATAACTGGCTTTACAGACAGTTGTGAGCCTTCATCTGGATGCTGGGAATCAAACCTAGGTCCTCTGAAAGAGCAGTCAGTGCTCTTAATCATAGAGCAATCTCTCTGTCCCCTCAAAGCTTTATCTTAATGTCCTCTTATATGTACAAAGTAAAGAAGAGGGCCACTGTGAGGCTTGAGTCTAGGAAGAAAGGATACATAGCCTCCTGCATTCCACCAGTCGGACACCCTCTGTGGGCTGAAGGGAATCATTATCAAGGACAGAAAGCAAAGCTGCGGGAGGAAAACGTTCCTCAAGATGGACTTCTTTGGTTAATATGTCCAGAAAGATATAGAATGTATTTTTCCCTAAAGAGGATATAGTGTTATAAATAGAATGATAGTATTATAAATGATACAAATAGATATTATAAATAGAAAGTTGAAGCGTTTTTCACAGGTCTGCGCATGTGTTGTGAGGAGCCTCTAGATGAGACATGATGTCTTTCCAGAGCCGCTTGGATGTTTATATGGCACAGAGTCCTGCAGGAACGTCTGTTCAGAACATGCTGCACTGGGCCCAGGTACATCTTCTCTCTCCCTGACTGGCATACCCAAATGTCTACAAAATCTCTGAGGTGTGGTCCCAACGAGCTCCATGCAGGCTGTGCAGGTACCTGCCTTTCATGGGGATGCTTCTTCAACCAACACCGGCTCCTCCTTTGCTCCCTTCTATTCTAATGTTATTCTATTCTCCCTGTCCTCAGTGCCTGGTTTTGGAGCCTGATTCCCACATAATCTGAATGAATTTCCATCCTTAGGTTCCTCCCTCGCTCCCTTTGAGGAAGACCTGTATTTCCTCTTCAGGGAAATCATTAGCTTTGATACATCTTTATGTAAAATAGTACAGCCTATTCCAGAAAGACCTGTTCATCTACCAGTTAGCCCATAGGGCATTTCAGAGTGCAGAAAGAATGTTTTACTCTGGACAAAGCAAATTCTAGGGAGGGATTAAAACAGATGAATAGTTCGTGGGTTTGCCCACAGTTACATTTTTGCTTGATAAAGTTACTCAATATTCAGTAAGCTCGAGATAGACCAGGTTCATTATTAAGTTGTATAACTTTCTGAGCCACGGCATCTGTGTGTATGAATTATTTGTGTAACTTTCCCTTCATTATTGATTAGTCAGTTTAGTCTTTTTGTCTTTTCCCTTTAAAGAATTGGCCAAATTAAGCATAACCCCATCTATCTGTGTACAAGAGGAAGTGAGAGTAATTACTCTTACTCTCCTTGCATTTTAACACATGTACTAATATCTTGTATATGCTTTAAAGCTGCAAATGCGAATCAGTTAAAGATAGTATGAAAACCATTGCAGATTTCTGGAAAGTTTGGGAGTTTTACTTCTGGGGTGATAGAGTTTGTGTCCCTATGAGTGAAGACTGGTCTAACCATGGGACCTGCTCCTGATGAGGACATGGGTGCAACCAATCATGGTCCTGGCCTCCCGGGAAATGCAAAAGCATGTTCACAGTTCTTGAGCACTTACTGCATGCTCTTCTTGCTCTTCGTATATGATTGCTTCCACCTTGCTGGGTTCATACAAAAACGTTATTAGGGCATTTACATCCCCGTTCTACAAATGTTATAGTCAATGCCTTATGCATCTACAGTGAGACTCTTTTACAGAAATAAGGGATGATGGGGACACCACATTTGTCCAAAATGTACAGACAACTAAGACAAGCATGCTGATGCTGATCTAACTGGTTGAGTTATTTATTTACTTATTGTTGTTGTTGGGTTTTTTTGTTTTGTTTTGTTTTGTGTTTTTTAAGATAGAGCTTTTTTTGTGTGACATTGGCTGTCCTGGACTCATGTAGATCAGTCTGGCCTCGAACTCGCAGAGATCTGCCTATCTCTGCCTCCCTGAGTGCTAGGGTTATAGGCACGCACCACTGTGCCCAGCTTGGATGAATATCTTTAATCCAGCACTTACACTAAAAAATGTTTTAGATTCTAGAGCAGAGTGGATTGGTATATTCAGATTAGGCATGCTCAACTGAAAAAATTTCATGCAAATATTACCAAATTAAAAAAATATATATTTTTTTTAAATTTCTGAAATCAAGGGCACAGCTGGTTTTAAGCATTTCAAACAAAACATACTTGACTTGTAGTGATTCGGGTGAAAGGCGCTTTGTTGCACACTTGCCTGAGGTTGAATGCTTTATTCACATCTTTTACTTAACCTCATAATCCGATTAGAGGAATGCTGGCTTCACACCTAACAAATACCTCGCCCTGCATAGCAGACTGAGTCATCAATCAAACCTGGTATAAAACAGTCTTCTGAGACACTAGACTCCAGATTCTAAATGGTACATTCTGTTGTTTCTCACTTCTAAAATTCCATGAGCTTTGGTTTTGGTTTGGTTTTTGTTTTTGAAGACAGGTTTTTATAACACACACATGCACATACACACACATATTACTTCCATAACTGTCTGTGTGTGTGTGTGTGTATATATATATATATACTTTAATCATGTTTTATATATAATAACATAATAGGTATATAATGTTATGAAATTAAAAAACTTAAACTAATAGGATTAAAACTCTGAGTGGAGAAAAATATAAGATACAGGCTAAAGAAAAAGAAATTCTTCTGAGGGTAATTAAATTAAGGGCTTGATATAAATCTGAAGTATCTGCCTCCTTAATTCAATGGGGATAACAGGTGGCCAATAACAGAATCAAAGAAACTATAAGTGTCTGACATAGTCATATATTTGAAGTCTAAACACCAGAGTGTAAAGCCATTGAAACTGTTTCCAGAGCTTAGCTTCTGGTTCTAAATCACAGCATGACACGTGGCTTGGTGCTGCACAAAAGCAGCAAGCAGTCCACATTTGCTGAGTTTTTCCCCCTAGTTATGATAAAAAAACATTTACTAACAGGGAATGCATTTTTAACAGCATAAGGGCACTTGCTTATGGACAGTAAAGTGCCAAGTTGTTTAATAACAGCCTTAGTCATTTTTGGTGTTGGAAACGTGTGGCCAAAACCTCTGTATGCACATGCAGATATAAACTCCTGAAATCCAATGTGTAATGTTGCACTTGAGAAGATTGTTATCTGCAGGTTTTCATTCAAAGATATGGGGCCAGGGCATAAAAGTTTCTATTGGTTTTATGAAGCAGTATCTGCTTTTATTACTTGGTTCCTGTTCTAATGCGTGGGCGTAATATCAGCCTTCTTTGTGTATTTCTTGCCCGACACTTTTAAATGTACATTTTTTATGTCATTTTAATGTGTTTTAACTTTTGTTTTATCTTAGGCTGTCAATTCTGGTCAACTCCAAGCTTTTGACTGGGGCAGTGCTGACCAGAACATGATGCATTTTAACCAGGTAAATAATACTAATTCTAATCACAGTCAGTGGAATGCTGCAGGGAACCTGTGAGAACCAGCCTTCTCTCAAATATTTAAGTAGTCATTATTTTCCCTTTGCCATGATCTGCGCTGCTCACTGCTGCCAGCCTGTGGTGCTTCCTGGGTGTTACCATGTGCTGAGTCATTGTTCTTAATTCTCGCAATGGTCCCTTGAGGTAAACTTTGTTTCCCTTCTTTTTCTAGAAGCTCAAGGAAGTAAATTGCCAAATAACTAGAGTATGACACAAAGATTTCTGGATCTAAAATGTATTTCTCTACTTTTTTCATTACTCATTTCTTTACAGGAAAAACAAAACAAAACAAAACGACTGTCAGTATTTCATTAACAGTTTTAAAAATAGAATTAGAAAGCATGATCCTGTTTCTAAAACAGATCTTCACCTAATAAAACTAACATTGCTTTAATAGATCAAGATGTCCTTTATTACTTTTAAAAGACCCAGTATATGGATCATTTAAGGTATATCAATCAAAAAAAAAATGACATTTCTAGGGAAAACTGACACTCTCAGAAGGGTAATGTAATATTAAGATATGTCTTAAGATCATCTATGAAAATGATGATAATTTTGTGAATATCTTACACTAAAAACTATATATGCTGTTGGTTGCTGTTAATTTTTCTACCTATATTGGGAGACCCAGTAATTCTTTTGACTTTCTGATGGCAGACTGACCTAAAACCATTGTCATAGTCTTTTCAAAACTGCAAAGAATAGATAGAATCAAGATAGAAATTTTATGTTTTTAATGTTTTAAAAAATCTGGTTATCCTCTCAAACTTATAGTTGAGTGTGCACGGGCTTGGGTACAGGGGTACGTACCAAACACACATTATGGCGGACTGACATGTCTCTGTTAATGACTGCCTTCCTTGTTCCACCAAGCTCATGGTTTGTTCGCTGACCTCACCTTATGAGCTAGGAGTCTCGGGTGAAAGTAGGGTCAGACCTATCAACTTCATCTTTGTCCTTACAAATGGACTAAAAATCCTATGTATGGTTCAGATATTGTCCCTTACTTGGAACGTTTGGTGGAGACTCACACAGAAGATGAACTATGCCTATTTAAAAGGCAGTAGCCTTAGTCGCAACGACACTTAATGACACTATAAATTATAAGGGTGTAATTACCGACATAAATCACTATTGGGCCTACCCTGCTAAGGAAGGATGATTTCTAAACAAATACATGTAATTTCTCACTGCCAATTTAAAAATAAACTAAAAAAGTCCTGGCAAAAGTTACCAGATACCATTTAAAGTCGAATTTTTATCTTCATTTTCGACTTGCCATCTTCTCAATGACTACCTTCTTAGCAGAGTCATAGTTTCACTGGAGTAAAGGAATTCCAGCTTAAGGGACTTTGAGCTGACATTGATCCTGAAGGTTTGCCAGTGTCTCACAGGTGCCAGCCCGTCAACTGAGAGTGACACTAAACATGACTTAGCAGTGAGCTCTTCCTGAATATTACTCTCTGAAGAGAACTTGAGAGTCACATTCTCCTTGTCATGATCTGCACCAAGCGGAATTCTATAGAGCTAAAATTAAAAAAGCTTCCATAGGGGTCTTCACATTTGTCCATGCTACCCAAGTGCTGGAAGTACTGCGCTCATGGTAAAGGTGCAATCAAGGCTAGATTGTAGGGAGGGTTCTTTTTCTGGCTTAAAGATGGCTGTCTTCTTAATGTGTGCTCATGTGGTCTTTACTCAGTGTATGTTATGGGAGGTGAAGGAAGGAGGAGGTAGGGAGGGAAGGGAAGAAAGAGGGAGGGAAGGAGGGAACAAAATTTTTAAGACCAAATATTCTGTAGAGTTAGGTGAGAAATTCTTGGAACATCACTTAACCTTACATTGGAGATTAGTGATTTAATATTTTAATTTAAGGAGAAGAAACTTCATTCTACATCGTGAATAATGAGAAACAATTTACAGTAGCTGGCTATTCATTTTCAAGTAGAAACTAACTCCTTTTAGGTTTAAAAAATAAAGCTCTGGAGCCAGGCATGGTGATGAATGCCTGATTTTCCACTACTCAGAAAGGCATTGGTTTATGGATCAGCCTGGTCTATAAAGTGAGTCCAGGACAGCCAAGGCTATAAAGAGAAACCCTGTCTGGACAAAACAACAACAACAAAACAAAACGAAAGCTCTGGTTTTCTGCAATGTCACCAGACTTTCCCTCTACTCTGTTTTTTACAGCTCATTCTCAATTTTGCTCAGACTCCTATTTTCATTCATTGGCTCTTTGCAAAATAGTCCTCTTATGGAGACTTATCTTAAACAGCTCTTGCCATTTCAAAAATCAAAGGAGACGTATTTTCTCCATAGCTAAAGAGCAAAGTACCAGAAAAAAATTTGGCCCAGTTTTAGAACTGTGTCCAGATGCTACCGAGTAGCTGTGGTGAGTCTTCTGACCCACCCAAGACTAACTGGAGTACTTGGTCATTTAAAAGAGGAATGCATAAGGGAAGGCTTGCTGGGTGTTTAGCCCTACACCACACTATTTCCATGTACAGATCAATCTCTTTACGCATATTTCAAGTGGTCGTGTTTATGTGTTGGTATAAATGCTCTCTGAAATGCCTGCTGATGCACAAGTGTCAAAAGAGCCACCGAGCCCAGTTTCCTGCATGTGAGGGAGACATTTATCCTGCCCACCAACTATTGAAAAAGACACACTCTTTGGTCAAGTTCCATCAGAAAGAGAAACCCTTTCTTTTTAGAGAAACACTCTTCCTCAAGTGTCTGCTCCAACATGCAAGTTAGGAGTGTATGGCAGTTCTCTATTTTCATAATACATTATTGCATGAACATACTTTGTCTGATCCCTGGCTATCATGATTGGGGAGACTTTCCTCTGCCGTGTGCTTCTGCCATGATGCACTGCCTCATAACAGGCCTAACAGCAAACTAGCCATACAACCAAATACTGCAGTCTCTGAAATAATGAGAGCATGTCTTTCTTATTTTTTAGTTGTTATTCTAGGATATATTTTCACAGCAATAGAGAACTGACTGTACAATAGTTTCATGTTTATGTATCATTAAGTGAATCCCAATATGACATATTAGAGTTTGAAAAGTTAGCTCAATATTTCACAGTTTACTAATTTCCCTAACATTGTTCTCTCTATTTCTTTCCCCATCCTACTTCCTTTCTCTCCCACTTCATTTAGCTTACACCTCCTGTGTACAATATCAGTAAGATGAAGGTCCCAACAGCAATGTGGAGTGGAGGACATGATGTTGTGGCAGATTCTAGGGACACTGTAAACCTGCTGCCTAAAGTTGCCAACCTTATTTACTACAAGGATATCCCACACTACAATCATATGGATTTTTACCTCGGACAGGATGCACCCCAGGAAATTTACCAGGACCTAATTAGACTGATGGAAGAATATTTGCAAAATTAAAGATTCTCTCTTTCTGCAAGCAAGTGGATATTTTACAGTAACAATGAAACTGGCAGACCCTAGGCTGACACCTCAATAATTCTCAGCTCTTTTTTTTATGAAGGAAAAGAAAATGAGTACAGTAAACAGCATTTGAAAAGTTGATAGATACCATACCTCTTTCTGGGTTATTCTGCTTAGCAGAAGTGATGGACTACAGTTACCTTGTTACATTATAAGAGATGGCATTTTGTTTAAGCAGTCTAAAGCAAGAGCTACTTTTGTTGGCTTGAAACACAAAGATGTAAGAAGGAAGCCACATTGCAAGGAACAGTGGATGGCTGCTCATATCTGAGGATGGTCTCCGGAAGATGACCAGCAAAAAACAGAACCTTCAACCAATCTACAGCCACAAGAAGATAAATCCTGCCTTAACTCTGCTTGAGTGTGGAAGCTATTCTTTTGGACTCATGCTTCTTATCGTGAAAGCAGCCTTGAATGCAACCTGTAAAACCCGGGGCAAGGGCCTCCGGCTATAACATGCCTACATTCCTGAACTCCAAAACAGTGGTACAGAAAATGTGTTTAGTTTTAAATTATTAGCTTTGTTCTAATCTGTTGCCCACAATTATAAGCTACCAACCACTAAAAGATACAGCAATTATATAATAAATATAATATTTAATTCTATTAATTATATAATATTAAGTATATACCATAATTTAAAATAGTACAATCTTGTATCATACTACATTACATATAACAATACATTCATTGCAGTATTATACGTTGTTATGTAATTGCTTGAAATACCCTTATCAAAAATAAATATCCTTATCATAATTTCAACCAATACCCTTTGTTATAATACACTTCCTTGAGCATTTGTTTATAGATTTTTAATGAATGAATCATTCGGCATGTAATTATTTGAAAAAAAAAAAGTCTTTTTGCTTTTGTTTCTAGAAGACTTTTTTCTGAGAATAAAATTTATATTCCCGTGTTTGAATTTTGCTACTTTCCAGCCTTTCATTTTAACTTTTATTTTTCGTTTGTATATTACACCCCAACTGCAGTTTCCCTCCCTCCACTCCTCCCCGTCCCTCCTTCCAGATCCCCTCTCCCCCAGATCAACTCCTCCTGTTTCCAAAAATCAAAGAGCAGGCCTCCCAGGTTCATCTATCAAACATGGCCCGAAAAGATCCAGTAAGACTGGGCACAAACCACATATCACAGCTGGACATGACAAGACTGTAGGAGGAAACAGGTCCCCAGAGCAGGCAAAGGCGTCAGGGACACCCCCTCTGCCATTGTTAGGAGTCCCAAAGAACACCCGTGCTGCACGGTCCTATATGCACCTATATGCAAAGGACCCAGCTCAGACCCATACAAGGTCCAAGTTTGTCACTTGAGTTTCTGTGAGCCCCTATGATCCCCTGCTTAATTGATTCTGTGGTCGATGTTCTTGTGGTGTCCTCAACCACTCTGGCTCCTACAATCCTTCCTCTCTGCCCCCCACTTCTCTGGGGTTCCAACGACTCTGCCTAGTGTTTGGCTGTGGATCCCTGCCATCTGCTCACATCAGTTGCTGAGTGATACCCCTCTTCCGAAAATTGAGCGAGGTACTACCTATCTATGAACACAGGAGAATATCATTAGGAATCATTCTGCTGGCAGAACAGATTGTCAGTCAAAGGATTTGTGGCTGGCTTGATGTCTCAGTCCCACTGCGAACGCCTTCCCGGATTATAGAAGATAGGGGGTTTTTGCCGTGCATCCTTCGTTGCTAGGAGACTTTGCTAGTGTTACTCTAGAGGACTCCAGGGAGCTCCCACCACACTAGGTTTCTACATCACCCTTCCAACCCCCCCCATTCCAACCATCTTTCCCAGTACTCTCCTCTTCCAGTCTCCCACTTTGCTGCCTGATCTCCACCTCCACCCAGTCACCCACAAGATCTATTTTCTTTCTCCTTCCCAGGGAGATCTATATTTGGCCCTCAAGCCCTCCTTGGTATATATATATCCTCTCTGTATCTGGATTGTAGTATGATCGTCCTTTACTTAACAGCTAATATTCACCTATAAATGAACATATACCATGCCATGCTTGTCTTCCTGGGTTACCTCACTCAAGACAATCTTCTCTAATTCCATTCATTTCCCCATAAATTTCATGATGATATGACATTTTTAACATCTGAATAATACTCCATTCTGTAAAGGTACCACATTTTCTTTATCCATTCTTTGGTTGAGGGACATCCAGGTTTTTTCCAGTCTGTGGCTTTATGAATAAAGCTGTAATGAACATCCTTGAGCAAGTGTCTTTGTGGTAGGATGGTGGATATCGCTATTGTTTTGTGGAGAGCGTCTTTCTCCTGGTGCTCTGTCTTGGATAATCAGTTTGTTGTATGATGTTGAATACGTCCAGCACCACAGTCTTATTACTCCTTGTAGCTTTATTAGTTGTGATGAATGACTGGACATCGTAAGGATGGCTCCATTGTTAGAGAGAGCCACTGACCCCGCAGTTCTCATGGAAGCAGGACACCATAAGTATGAATCAGCGTGGTTTATCAGGAACACCTTTTGTGCTTACTCATAACATGAGAGTGTTGGCTGCTACCCAGCAATGAGGGTTTCTGTCACTGACTATTCCAGTCAAAGGGCAGGCCTGAAACCTTTACTTTCTGGTTAGACAATAGCTCAGGTCCAGATGTTTCACAGGGAGAGGTGGCAGCTGGAATCATAGATCTACCCAGCCCTATCCTCTGACTTCACTCTCAGACTTGTCAGCAGCGTATGTTAAAACAAGGTGTAGCAACAGAAAAAGAAATGTGTTATTTCCCTCAGCTGCTACTGTGTGTTGTGTGTGTGTATATGTGTGTGTGTGTGTGTGTGTGTGTGTGTGTGTGTATGCTTTTGTCTGTCTGTCTGTCCAGGGGCAAGACTTCAGAGCCCCTGACCCCTGCTGTTAACACTCATGTCACATGTCACTGGAGCTTTTCTTTTCCTGAATATTTAAGCTTAAAGGTCTGTCTAGGCTTTAAGTTGGTTTTGCTATCGCAGAAGTAGGGGTAGGAATAGGAGTAGCTAAAGCTCAATGAAGAATTCCCAGCCAAGTGTGTAGGGCCCTGTGCTCTATCCAGAGCACCATGCACACCAACAATAAAAACCACTAATCACAGAGCAAAAAAGCAACAAAAATAACAGAAAAACAAAATCTAAGATAATTTCTTTCAACTGAGGTGCCTATGTTGTCCACATCAAGATACTCTTTGTATGTTGTTATGTAATGTTATGTTATATATTCACTATTTTGTACTTTGTATGGTATGTTATGTACTACAGGGCAGGAGGATTCTGAGAATTCCTCATCTCCCCTTCAGCTGTGGACTCACTGGGTATTGAAAAAAAGAGGTCATACGAGAATGTTATAAAAATGTTCTCCATTCGGCTACTTAGTAAAAGAAACAAGCTAACGGAACATAAGCAGCACCAGTGGAACTATTACTTAGAACTTCTTAGTCTGTACATGCCAGATGTGGAACAAGACTTATTCAAGAGGTTTGTTCAAGGCCTTCATAGATATCTCAGAGGCAAAGTTCTACACCTGAAAAATGACAAGAGGAACTTCATGACCCAGTGACCTTAGATATAATGCTCTTAACCCTGACAACCAAGCAAAATCAAATTGGGCTGGCCACCCCCTCACCCGCAGTAAGCACCCTAATCAATAGAGATGGTATCTTCTCCCCTCCAAATACAACTCCTACTCTCTACCAGGCCGCACTGTCACCAAGTTTGTGTCAAAGTAACTCCACCACGATACTTGAGCAAAGCTCTCTTTCTTACGGAGAGGAATCTCACTGAGGCAGTGTGGTGAAGGAGTCCAAGAGATGGGGCTTTTCAGGGGCTTCTGGACCTCAAGAATAGTCTTTTTATTTTAATTAATTAATTTATTTATTTACCATATATCCAAATCATAGTCCCCTCCCTCCTCTCCTGCTGACCCTCTCCCTATCCTGTTCCCCCATCCATCCTTCCCTACTGCTCAGATAAGGGGAGCTCCTACCCCCACCCACTCCAGCTCATTAAGTTGCCTCAGGACTGAGTGCATCATCTTCCCCTGTGACCCGGCAAGGCAGTCCCGCTAAGGGGAATCCGTGTCAGAGACAGCCCCTGTTCCTCTTACTAGGGTCTTCGAGTCTGCGAATTGTAGTATGTCTATCCTGGACATTTGCTCAGCTATGTTCACAGCAGATTTATTCATAATAGCCAGAATCTGGAAACAATCTAGATGTTCCTCAGACAAAGAATGGATAAAGAAATTGTGGTACATTTACACAATGGAATACTACTCAGCTATTAAAAACAAGAAAATCATGAAATTTGCAGGCAAATGGATGGAACTAGAAAAGAGTGAGTGAAATAACCCAGACTCAGAAAGACACACATGGTATGTCCTAACATTTAAGCAGATTTTAGCTATAGTCCAGAGTAGTCTTAATCTACCTGATAGGATCCTTTACAATACATCTCTCAGCTACTGCATCTTGTGCATGACCTGGAGATACAAATAATCTCTCCAAAGTCCCTCCCCATGTTCCCTCTAATCTCGCTCCTATTCTACGCAGTCATTTCTGTTCCATTATCCCCTATTCCTTTTTTAATTATTTTATTTTTATTAATTACAGTTTATTCACATTGTAAACCAGCTGTAGTCCCCTACCCCAACCCCTTCCCATCCCAACTCCCTCCCTCTTCTTCTCCTATGCTCCTCCCTCAGTCCAGTGATAGGGGAGGTCCTCCTCCCCTTCCATCTGACCCTAGTCCACCAGGTCTCATTGGAACTGGTTTCTTTGTCTTCATCTCTGGACTGGTAAGGCTGCTCCCCCCTGAGGTGGAGGTGATCAAAGAGCCAGCTGTGAGTTCATGTCAGAGAAGGTCCCTGTTCCTTTTATTGGGGAGCCCTCTTGGACACTGAGCTGCCATGGGCTAATTCTGTGCAGAGGTTCT